CCTAGGGCATTTACAGAAGAACAAGGGGAAGTGGAGACCCGGATTCAGGGTTTTGTGTTGCTGAAAGAACAGCGTCTTCATTTGTCAAAAGATCCACTGGGATCAGTATCCAGGGTCTCGAAAAAACGGTGGGAACTGGGATCCTTGGTCGTGTTTTACAAAAGAGACAGTGAAAATCAGAAGCCAGAATAAGAAGAAACAGGGGTGTGGAACCTAGTTTTCTGGAGAGAAAAAAATGACAGCCACAATCCTGGGATTTCGTATGGTTAAAAGACTCAGACTGGAAGCTAAAGCCAGCAGTCTTGTTCTACCGAAAGAACCAACGAGAGCTGAAAACCGACAATAGAATCCAGGTGAATGTCTGAATTAATCACAAAGCAAGTAGAATTATGTACGCAGACAAAACCGACACAAAACCATCATGTGGGTGCCGGTAGTGTAGTGGTTAACGCGTCCGTGTTAACCACTGCAAGTCTGGGAAACCAGAGGTACGGGGCTCGATTCTCCGCGGTGCCCGCCCTTCCCGCCAGGGTGAGAGGCAGGCGACGTCATACAGCCTCAGCAGCTGGGTGCGTCGTAAAGCCCAAATGATGTGACGTGACAACCTCTGTGACGACATGACAAAACCATCACGTGCCAGCCACGGTCATTTACTTGGTGAGAAGAGTGGTGGCGCGCGGTGGTGGAAGGCTGCAAGTGGTAAATAGCACGACTAGGAACGCATTTTGTACAATCCAGATTACTTTGCGCATGTGCGGTGTGTGAAAAAATCGGTTCAGTGCTTTCCACCCATCTTTCAACGTACCACACTGTCTATCCTTGGAATTATAGTTCGACATTTAGTACGTAAAGAAAAGGACATGGACAAAATATGTGCTGCAAATTCGCAGCATATTTTGATAACGTAAAAAGCTCTCCATTTTGCGATCATACCCTCTTAGTGCCGGACGAACATGATCACGCGATTTCGAATGACGAACACAACTTTGCTGTCCACCCATTTTAGGGTTCGGTATTCGGTGGGTGAACATTGTGTAACCGCGTTTGCGGTGCACGCAATCATTGTGTAAATCCGTGTGGAAAAGCTTAGAATAGACATTACGGAACTGACATCGACAAAGTTAGAGGAATTGCGCTTGAAGTGAACAACGTTGAACAATTTTATTTCACAAGCTTGGAGCGTCACTTGTGTTAAACACCACGCTAAGCCTAAATGTCCGTTCGCATGCCTTTGGGTGGCTACATACGCTGGACTCCAGAATAAAGTGCAAGTGTAATAATAACGTGTAAAGTGTGATAAAGTGTCGAGTGTAGGTGTAATAAAGCAACTTGGAAAGCTGACACCTTCTTCGTACAAGTAACTCCCATTCACACAGCGTGAAGCTCCCCATTTCTTTATCTCCTTTTACGACAGACGCGTTGTCATGTCTGCGCCACATGTATATCGGGATAAATAAAGTTCTTGAAAAAGTCATTAAGAACTTGCATATCCACTCCAGCATGAGAAAGAGCACGTAACACAGAAGTTATGTCATGCACATATTTTCATGACAAAATGCCATCAACTATTTATGAAGGCATCCGAAGACATTTAGCAAGCCTCACTTAAGGACATGAGCGACTTCATACCCCATCGCTTAGCGTGCCATGCAGTATTGCATACTAAGTCAGTGTGGCAAGTCTATCCTTGTCCATTCATTTCAACATTCCACTCGATCAAAAACATACTAAAAGCATTGACTGGCAAGATGCTGCCGATTTCATCGCGCTTCGCTGTTTACGTTGACGCATGCAGCGGAACGCAAAGTGAACGGTGATGGTGTGACCTCATGCAGTTTGTGTGATTGTGGCTTTACGACGCACTCCGCTACTGAGGCTACATGGCGTCGCCTGCTACTCACCCTGGCGCAGACGCGCTAACCACTGCACTACCGGCACCCGAACCTCATGTAGTCGTAGGCGGCCGACCCTCGGGGTCAGCCGCGCGCCGGTCGGGACAAGCCATCAGCTCCCAACCCTGCTTCGTCCGTTGTGCACAACGGTCTCATGTACCGCGCCTGCACCAGTCTGATGTTGCAATCATGAGATTACTTAACGCGGTAGCTATCGTACGCCTAAATTTAAATCGATACGTTCTTGACATGAATGGCACATTTCGGTCCCAAAACAGCTACCTTGTTCGCAGCCGTTTTCACGAAGGGGTACGGTACAAAACATTTCAAAACAGTTTCTAAAACCTTTTCAGCGTCTTTTTTTAACCACACACTTTCAGCAGCGATTTTCCGTTAAAAATGTTCCGCAGGTAGCCAAAAACACGCTCGTAAAATGCATAACTTGATCAAATTGCGGATGGCTGGCTGTAAACAAGATCATGCTTTTATTGACAGGTATGATGCCACACGTTTTCCTCTTGAGACTTTTCAGAGCTTTCTAAAAACATTCGGTAGCATCTCTGACGCAGACGCATTAAAATTGTTTCATATCCTTGCAGCGTCTCCGTTCATGGGCATGCCGTACTTGCAGAGCTTACTTACAGCTCTTACAGAGCTTGTTTACTGTACTTACAGAGCCTGCGCACAATACTTTCAGAGGTTACAAGTCTTGCATACCGTAACATAATCCAAGACGACTGATTTTTTAATGAAATGATCGTCAGAGCCCGTCCCGCCCACTTAGCATAGATGTAAACAATAATGGCACACCCAGTATCCAACGTCCTCGACCGATTCACATTGCTGATTTCCAGAAAAAGTACTTTTCTAAATTTGGGTGAGCTAAAGGCATCGGTTAAAGAAATGTCTAGACAGGGTCTAACTTAACCTAATTCATTTTATTTTTTGCTACTCGTATACACGTGGTAAACCTTTTGCTGCTTCAGAAATTGCATGAAAGCAACATTTCCTAACCAGAGCGTTAAGTATATACCAAACATTCATCTGAACATTTGAAAAACCTTTCTTAAGAACTTGTCATTGCATTTGTTTATCGTAAAAACGACTGATATGGGGGACAAAGCCAGCAAACGTCGCCTTTGCCTGTCCTAAAATAAGTGGCACGGATTGTTCTGCTAGCCCTGCATATCCAATTTCAAAGTCGGATGCTCAACTTGTTCGGTATAATTTTGCCAGCCACGTTTGACTACACTGAACCACATGCCCTGTTTCTATACAACTACGCGCATATTTTATATAATTCACGTGTAGAAACCTGTCAGCACGTAACGCCAATCTGGTTCAAGGCGGAATATGTCATCATTGACATAAAAAACGTAGCCATGCCATCTCTCAGAGCAGGGAAGGGTACGTGGCCTTATCTTGTAGTCAAGTGCGACTTTCCGTCGGTCGCCCTGGTCTTAGCCCTCTCCGGTGCAGGGGTCAATGCGACACCCGCTGAAGGTCCGAGATGAACGCCGTGCCGTTTGGCGGGTCGTGCTGATATTTTCAGCACCATCCGTTGCATGCTTTCCGCAACTTTCTTAATGAAAATATTGGTCAGGTCATGTCAGGTAACGGAGCTATGAGGTCGTGAATGGAGCATCCTCCGCCCACTTTGAGCGAAACCGCCGATTACTGCAACTTGGCATGGCATCATCCACCAGACTGCACATTTTGAGTGATTTAGACAAGAACGTATCTGGACTGATATTTGCACATTGTCTCTTGACCTTTCTAAGGTCACACAAGGTAACTTAATTAGGTGAATCTTTGTTGACGCTTTTGATACCTAATAGGGTTTTCAAGGCCCCGAATTTGAATCGGTCGCCCACTTATCGACCAGGCTTTGTCAATTTGCATTTCCGTTGTGGTGAGCAATGAAGTTGAAACTGCGGTGCAGCAGATACCTACGCCCTAAATGTAGCAAAGCCTACGCCACACACATGGAGATAGTGATGATGTTTGACACGCAGTATAGCTAAAAGCTTAGATAGATCGTGTGCTTTACCGTGCCTTGGCTACTGAAGCCGTTTCGCTGAACGCACGGATCATGTTCGGCAGTGCACGTGCCGGCTCATGGAACTAGACAAAGCAGGGCGCGCACTAGACGCGCAGAGACGGGAGGCCGCGGGTAATGTTAAGTCATCAAGTTCACTTCACCATTAATATGTGCGCACAAAATGGCTGTGACCTATAGTTCCACCAATACTCAGCCCGGCCTTCCAACATGGGATCAGCTTTTAGCCTGACCTTACCGATGGTACATGCTTCAAATGTAGCTTGTGGTTTCTCATTACATTTGTAAGAAACTGCGGAACACGGTGATATTGATTAGAAGTATATATCTGTTTCAGATTAGCAAGCATTTCTGGGAATATTGCAGGCGTTACAAATCATTTCCAAAATTTTCCGACACGTGCCGCCGTTGGCGACGACGCTCGTGCGCACTAAAAGAAAACAGAAAAAGACCCTGTGTTTTACGAAGACGATCATAATTCAGCGGACAGCCGATGATGTGGTGGGAAATGCAGTCACACAACTGGTAACAAACACGCCCAAACAGCTGACACGCTATCGTCGCCGGATGCCGTCTTGAAAGCAGCGGTATCTACCTGGGAGAGTATTCTCACCGCACATACAGAGAACAGTTTGCCGTCCATGATCAGTGGTGGTTCTGAGCGTCCAAAATGGCTGCTATTGTGTTATTTGGCACAAAACATTCTGCTTTTTACACTTGTTGTTTTGAATCATTTAGAATGCGACGAATGTAAGCCATTGCCAGCCTATCGCAGCCACTGGGCCTGCCTATCGTGTTTGCCAGTTAAGAGGCAAGAGGAAGCTTATACTTTGTAACGCTTACCTTCTTCGATATGCTCTTTTACGATTCCGCTACATATGGAAAAAATATACAGTTTTCCTTTTTATCTTCCGATTTCGCTGCATATGTTTTGCGAAGCATATCTGTATAAGTTTGTGGTTCTTATGCACATCAGTTGCTATGAAACGGGCTCGTGGTTTAGGTGGCAATAGCCAAAGCACACTTTTTGAGCTGCGGGGTAAGCGTACCTTGAGGTTAGACGGCGGCAGCAGCGGTCGTAGCCTGGCTCAGAGGGATTTTCCGTACCACTCCTGTGTCTCGAAGTCCTATGTGAAATCGATTACACGCAGCCTTCCGCTGTCTGCTGGAGCTTCAGTGCGCACCTCCACGCGCGGCGGCCCCGCCGGCCGGCAGATGTGGCCGCCGGGCTCGCGGCGCCCGGCGGCGGGGGGTGCCGCTAGAACACGAAACTACGCGACTTGCGGAGGCCAGCCCCGCTGCCGACCTCAGCATACACTGCGACCCGCTCAGGGGCCCGCGCCCTCTGCGGGGCCAGGCACTGCGCCCGGCACGAGCACCGCACGCCGAGCGTCCCCAGCGCCCGCTCTCGCGGCGTCCGCCCGCACGATTCACGGGCGCCGATGAGTACGCAGAGCGTCGCCCAGCCGCCTCACACTCCGCTGTGTCGAGCCCGAGAGACGCGGCGGCTGTACGCCGCGGTCGGCTGGAGCAGCGCGTCGGACACCCCCAGGCGGACCAGCCGGTGCGACCGCCCGGTCACGTATGAGCGGAGCAAGCGCCCACCGCCGGCTGGCTGCGGCCGGCCTTCGGTCTGACGTCAGAAGAGCCCTGTTGTCCGCCAGTCGCCTCCGTTGGTGCTCTGTACGCCGCCCGCTGCACCGATGGCGCACCGCAGGGTGGCCAAATGGTGGTCTGACGTTCGCTGGCGGGGTTACAGGGTAGATGGTCTTGCGCACTCTCACTTGGAGCAATAATCTGGCATCAACAGGGTGCAAATGCAAATGTGCAAAGCAACGTAGCTATGGGCCTTTTGGAACAAACTTGCCCATTCATATATGCTGCCGTCGTACAACCCTTCAATGCCCACAAACCGCAGTTTTGCGTGTCATAAAGCTGATCCCTTCACGTGCGGGGTGCCGATTTTTTCAACAAGTATGAGAGTCATTATGCAGCATGGCATATGTGCATCACTCCACTAATCAGAATAATTATCCAGCTAATGTGCGCTGAACCATTGCTTAGCCGCAGAAGGGACAGCAGAAATTCACAAGTTAGAAAAGTAGAGCATCCGCCGTACGCAACAAAGGTAAAAATGCACAAAAAGTGCAACGATGAAAAGCTAGAGAGCACAGTCATGCCAGATCCCACACGGGCTCTGCGCCCCAGCTTCGACGATATTTACAGCGCCCCAGCTTCTTCGATTATTCGTCGACGATAGCGCAACAGGGGAGCAGGGGACTTAACGGCCCTGAAGCGATTGAGTCACCCACCCCGCACAGCACGCTGCGCAGCGGACGACCCGCGGCTTGCTCCGCTCTGCAACCTTTCCCTGCACATGGGCGCGGTCGTCCTCTGGGAACCAGCCCGGTGGAGAGCATCCCCGCTGCTGACGCCCGCGCCGTATCTGTTTCAGGAGCGTACCGCGACCATCGGCTGTGAGGCGGGCTCACGGACGCCCGGGCAGAGGCCCGGCCGCAGCGCCCGCACGAGCTCCACGGAAGGGTTCCCGCGCAGGGTGGGAGTCCCCTGTTAGCAGAGGTCTGTCCTTCACCACGGCTGCAGCACTACCCTAGCAGCTGCCATTCATATTGCCATTGTTGTCATTATCGTGTTGATCACAACATCCTGCTGGGTCCCGGTTTCAGCAGAGCCCAGCCCAGGGGTGTCAATTCTTTAAATGGTTGGCGGGCCGAGGGCCCGACAACCTACCCCCCCCCCCGCCCCCCCATCTCCCCTCCCATTTTTGCTCGGCGGATTTAACCCACTTTATTTTAACAAAAGGCAATTTCTATCTTAAATCTGAAACCATTAGAATTGTTGTTAATTTGAGCAGCGTGGTAGTCATGCAGAGGCGGCTCTAGAAGGGAAGGCCATGGCCCTCCCTGTATCACTCCAGTTCATCCCCATCACTCAAATTAGCTGCCTGCTTTATCGCTGCTTTAAGATACCATGGAAAACATGACTACATTTGAAGAACCAATCCCTACATTTCATGCATTCGGGTCACAAGACTATTTGCGCGCTTGAACCTCGCACTCACATTCGTCTCTGTGCCTTCATTGGTGTTGGGCTTTTTTGAAGTACAGCCTGCTGCTATCTAAAATGCGATATAGCGCGCAGCAGCGGCTTGCATGTACATATGAGGAATGTATTTTTCTTGTTCCTGATGCTACCATTGGTTCACTAATTTCCAGCCGCGTGTTGCTCATGCTCGACAAAGACTGGGCAGGATGGGGCATTGCATTAAAAACCCGCCACACATGGCATAAAATTCGCCAACTATTTTGTCTGAGTGTGAAAATAATTCGGGTTCCAGCAGCTGACATTGAAGGCGCAGTTGTATTTCTTGTGTCGTGGACTTCCACAACGATAAAAGAACCTAGCCAAAACAAAAATAGAACATATTGGCCACAGAATTCCACATGAAGCTCAAACGTTGCCTTAATGTGACACCGAAAAAAAATAAGGGATGTCGAACACAATGCCATTGTTCCAATTAATGGTTTCATACATTTATTCGAGTTTAGCTATGCTTGATTGCTTTCTAGGTCACTGGTGATACTAATTGACACAGATAGTCAACTGATATTCCACGTGACAATGGGGCAGTTTACAGACATCGCACTTCTCCGAACCAGTTGGATGCAATGAGTAATGCTCGCAAAAAGAAATGTGTCGACGTGTAGACACATCGCTCGTGGTGAAAGCCCGACTTCTGTAGAGCACTGAAGTTATACTGACCACATTCGTGATGCGGCAAAACGCGTGTTGGCAGGCTCGCCTTCCAGAGTAAATGCTCGTATATGGCTCGTCATAGACAGCCACTTGGCGTTTGGCTGATAATGTCAGCTCGGTTACAGGGAAGCTGAAGGTCATGTAGTGGCATGGCACGGTAAAGGCTTTTTTGTAACATTTGAATCACAACCGAGGCAAAATGGATCCTTTGAACGTGTGGTACAGTAATGGAATGGTGGGTTTAGTTAGCAAAATGCTTTTTGCCGTATTGTTTATCATTTTCTGGCTGATCTGGACCAGTAATCCGGACTAACGACGCCGCGCCAAAATAATACGCCGCCCGACTGTTTTCTCATGAGAATTTATACTAAAACACCTCTGGCTTCAACTTTAAGTAAAGCAATGTTAGGTTCGTATCCCACCATTTGCGGGGGGGGGGGGGCAAATGTCTCAATGCATCATAAAAGAGATCACGAGAAGCGTGAATCATGGCGCTAATATCATGTTTGGGCCGTGGGTAGAAAAAGCGTTTGGGCTTTCGTTTAACAGAAAAAGCAAAAACAAAACAAATGTGAAATGTTTCAGCGCCAACGTCTTTAGTTACCCAATAATTCGATAAAATAAGGTGGTCAAGTTACCCAGTTGCACCGACCATGGCTTCGCCACTACTAGGATCAAGAAAGTGGTGGTTGTGTGATTGCCAACTTTTCTCTTTGCTTTTGTAATATTTCAGGCAAAAGAATATTTGGTGGTCCAGGCCAGCCTAGGGGGCAATTCAGAATTCGAGGGGGACAGGGCCCTCACAACAGAACATAACTAGACGTCCGTGCATTCTACGCATGCTGCTCTCTTCCTATGATACACTTCAAAAGCCCTGGCGTCCCCCCAGTTAGTCTCTACCCTTGCAAGGGTTTACTTCCTTGTCCACGTACTGCGGCTGATTCACGTATAGCCTGATGTTCGACATAGGCTTGTAAATCTGATGCAATAAACCTAGCATGAAATGATCGATATCCCAGGAAATATCGTTTCGGGAACGACAAACACTTTCTTCCTACGTCTGTGCAGCTGGGTTGTAGTTGTGCTGATGTTAAGTGAAGCCAATGACGTCACGAGCAAGCATCCACTTCCTCCTTCAAATCAACCATGAAGGTTGACGACCGGCGTCGGCCCGGGGCCACGTGGTGGTGCTCCCGCCCTGCCGTGCACGGCTGCCGCCCCACCCCCACCCAGCGGCGTACTCACGGTCCCCAGGGGTGCGGTGCAAGCGGCCGTGCGGCCCCACTCTGGGCTGCTTGTTGATGTCCGTGTGCCGCCGGCGTGACGCTGACCACACGGACTAACGACGCTGCTCGTGCGCCGGCTCGGCTCACTCATCTACCGCCGTCGTACGTGCTCTTCAGGGGACACCGTTTCCAACTGAACGTCCACGGATTGATGGATGGCGACAAAAACGCCCTCTGAAACGTCACCACTCCAGTCCGTCCATAGAAGCATGTTCTTTCAGAGGGCGGATGGTCCACGGATGTCCGTGGTGGTGCGTGCAATGTTCGTTGAGTTTGTTAGCGCCCTGTACTTTGCGACTATTTCAAGGTCATTCAGGCATGCATGACGCCATAGAAACGTCACTGAAATCCTGCCACCCCATTGGCCATATAACGTTTATGACAAACCAGAACATAGTCGTCGAGCCGTTCATAGCTGGCGTTTGTGAGCACGATTTCCAGACATAACGGTCATCAATTGGCTCTCAACCAGTGTTGTGCAGGCTGTGTAAGTTTCAATCACGAATCACGTGTTGTGCTACACATTTCAAGAAGTTGGATACCCTTACCGACCATTACGGAAATAAGATTTGCCATCAAATAACTTAAGAATAGTGCCCAAACCGAATATGTGAATGCAAGTAAACTTTAACTCATCGATGAAGATGCAAGAACACCACAACAAAATACCAAAACACGATCACGTCAAGATATTTGGTTCAGCACCAACACGGCCACACCTCCAGCGCCACTCTGGCCACCTCTCGAGCGAATGAATTACTACAAGCGTCAGGTTAGCAATTTCGCACGGCTAGTTTGGCAGCACCTCAACGTCATACAAACGTTCCATGACGCAATTGAGCGATGACGTATTCAAAGATGCATTGACTAAATAGAGAAATTGTGTTGTCCAGAGCAGTGTTCTCGGGTTAAAAGCATGCCAATAATCGTAAGTGGGCTTATTTCATCATATAGGATGTCTCCTTTAATGTCTTCAAATGTGGAACATCCCTTTAAGCATAAATAATTAATGCATAACGACGACCGGTATTTTGCATAACTACCGGTATTTTGCATAACGACCGGCAC